TTTGTTTTTAATAGCTACAGATCTTCCATCGACAATAACATTCTCTTTTGCGTTTTGTTTATTCAATTCTAAAGGTATAGAAGGTTGTTGTACAACACCTCGTTCAACCTAAACAAAAAATGTTGATATAAAGAAAAAGTATGTTCCACAATAGACTATTACCTTTTCCGGATTCATTGATTCACATGAACTGGCGGACTGGGTTGTCGGGTTTTCACACATTTTCACTGACGTTCTAATAGTAGTTAATGGACTCACAATCTCCTTAGTTATATTATCTCGGTTCCTTTTGTGGGTTTCTAAATGGCGATTTAAAGTGGACCGGACTCGTGTGGAAAATGTTGGACACAGTGGACATCCTATAGGACTTGGGAAAAATTCCGTCATTGGGATATTGTTAATAGTATCGGGTGAAAATGATATCATATTTTTATTTTCAGCAGCAGTTTGTAATTTCGCAGATTCCTGTGGGTTAACAATTTGATAATTATTTATCAGAATAATACAAAAGCTAAAGTAAGAAACATAACATTCCAATACTGGTAAATGTAATAAAAAAAATTTAGAATTAAATTTATAAAAAAAAAACTATTTCCTAAAGTAATAAGGTCGAAGGTAAACACTAGTATTTGTTGTTTAATGCATACTATTAGGCAATGAAAATACATAGGTAACAGAAAACGATCCCGAGCAGAATTCGGATTAAACGATGCCTTCTCAACGATAGATATGTCATATTATAAATAATAATGAAGTAAACATAAAGTATAATTTTTAATTTTATAAGTTTAATGTACAACTCTCTTGGTTTTCTTGATGTAACATGTTTTATCCAGGTTATCACAATTTCTAGAAGAACTCTTGAAAAATCTAAAATTCAGCGGTCTTATGTACATCCTCAGTGAACAATATTTTTAATAAAAAATTCAATCCGTATAATTTTTATTGAAATGACCGGTAGGGAAGTTATCTGAAGGATTTATATATGCCTTTCTATATTTAAAGGAAAACTTACTGTTGTAACCGTCGATATGTCATATTATAAAGAATAATGAAGTAAACATAAAGTTTAATTTTAATTTTATAAGTTTAATGTACAACTCTCTTGTTTTTCCTGATGTAACATGTTGTATCCAGGTTATCACTATTTCTAGGAGAACTCTTGAAAAATCTAAAAATTAGCGGTCTTATGTACATCTTCAGTGAACAATATTTTTAATAAAAAATTCAATCCGTAAAATTTTTATTGAAATGACCGGTAGGGAAGTTATCTGAAGGATTTAAAAATGCCTTTATATATTTAAAGGAAAACTTACTGTTTTAACCGTCGATTTGTTTTTAATAGCTACAGATCTTCCATCGACAATAACATTCTCTTTTGCGTTTTGTTTATTCAATTCTAAAGGTATAGGAGGTTGTTGTACAACACCTCGTTCAACCTAAACAAAAAATGTTAATATCAAGAAAAAGTATGTTCCACAATAGACTATTACCTTTTCCGGAATTATTGATTCACATGAACTGGCGGACTGGGTTGTCGGTTTTTCACACATATTCACTGACGTTCTAATAGTAGTTAATGGATTCACAATCTCCTTAGTTGTATTATCTCGGTTTCTTTGGTGGGCTTTTAAATGGCGAATTAAAATATATCGCACTCTTGTAGTAAATTTTAGACACAGTGAACATGCCATAGGACTTGGGAAAAATTCCGTCTTTGGGATATTGGCAATAGTATTGGGTGAAAATGATATCATATTTTTATTTTTAGCCACAGTTTGTAATTTCGCAGATTCCTGTGGGTCAACAATTTGATAAATTTTATCAGAATAATACAGATGATTAACTGAAAAACATAATATTCTAACAATGGTAAATATAATATAAAATTCCTTATAATTTTAATTATATTAAAAAAACGATTTCCTACAGTAATTGTAGTCACTAGTATTTGTTGTTTAATGCATACTTTTAGGCAAAGATAAAACATTAGTAACAATTAACGAAAAATGATTCCAAGCATTGGAGATTCAATTTGGAGATTTGAGATTGGAGATTCAATTGGAGATTGAATCATTTCAGATTATACGATGTTTTCTCAACAATAGATATGTCATATTATGATGAATAATTAAATAATCATAAAATATAATTTTAAGAATATTTGATTCATATACCAACTTTCTGATATTTCCTTCATATTCTCCTCATTTTCTATGTAATATCCATATTTTCAATACTTGCTAGGAAAACTATTAAAAGATCTACAAATCGGTGCTCAAATGTACCTCCTCAGTGAAAATTATTTTTTATATGATTTCTAACCTTATAATTTTGATCGAAATTGCTGGTAGAAGTGTTGTCTTAAGGAATGAAATATGCCATAATATTTGAAAGGAAAACTTACTGTTTTAACCATAGATTTCTTTTTAATATCTATTGAACTTCCATCGACAATAACATTCTCTTTTGCGTTTTGTTTATTCAATTTTAAAGCTAAGGGATGTTGTTGTACCTCAGCTTGTTCAACCTAAACAAAATCATTTAACTTTAAGTTAAGTATCGTTTTTTTATATTTTTATTTCTTTTTATATATATATATATATATATTTTTATAAATCGATAGAAAAACTAAGTTCCCAATAAGTCTATTACCTTTTCCGTATTGATCCTTTTAACTGAACTGGCGGATTGAGTAGTCGTTTTTTCAAACATATGTCCTGACTTTCCAATAGATGTTACTGGATTCACAATCACCTTAGTTGTATTACCTCGATTTCTTTGGTGAGCTTTCAAATGGCGAATTAAAATAGACCGCACTCTTGTAGTATAATTTGGACACAGTGAACATCCCATAACACTTGGGAAAAATTCCGTCATTGGTATATTGTCAATAGTATCGGGAGAAAATGATATCATATTTTTATTTTCAGCAACAGTTTGTAATTTCGCAGATTCCTGTGGGTCAACAATTTCCTAATTTTTATCAGAATTAAAAAAATGGTTAACTAATATACACACATTTTTTACAACTGTAAATATTAAAGAAATTATTACAGATATCATAACTTATACCTACATTTGTTACTTTTTTTTGTAGATGATTTTGATTATCTTTTAGTATATTCATTTGATTGTAATTAACTAGTTCAATCGAGTTACTCATTTCCATCACTTTTTCACTAGCTTGTAGTACTTCTGCTGGAGATGATTGTTTATTTCCCTCAATATTGGCACTATTTTTAGATTTTGTAATTGCATTATTTGATTGTTTTATATGAGTTCTTTCGGTAAGATTTTCAGACAATGAAATCATGCCAGAAGGCAAATTCACCATTTTTAACAAATCATTGTATAAAAGTGCTTCCATTCTTATAATGTTTAAATTTCCAACCTTTGAAGAATCCTATAACAGTTATGATAAATAATTACATAAAAGGATAAATTATAAAAAATTTAATTATTCATACACAACTGCCAGACTTCACAGAACGCTCCAAACATAATGAGTCATATTCAAAATGTTCCATGGCTAAATGAGAGATCATTGAATCCATAGTTTCAGTACCAAACAAACAGAAAATACACTGGTACATGTTTAAATGGTGGTCTTTGAAGTGCTGAAAAATAGAGATATTTATTTGATAGGGTAAATGATTTATTAATTTTATATATAGCCATTTTCACTAATGTTTACATTAGTGAAATGCCTTTGTTCATGCCTTTGTTTACAAAGGCATGAAGTTTATGTTTAATTTTAATTTATGGAAGGTTCTTGCCACAATAGGTAAGTTGTTTCATAAACTCCATTCAAAATTATTTTTAAGTTTGTGAATCCTTGTTTGGTATACAGAATTATTTAAGTCTGACATGTTATCAAAAAGTAGAATAATTAGTTTAAAAAAACCTATATGGATATAAAATGTAAATATTACAGTCATTAGAAGAACATATATGTTAAACTAATATATATTTCTAAATAGTTACACTGAAATATATTTAAGATTTACAACCTTAGAACAATAGCTGTAAAAAAATTTAATTTTTATATCAAATAACTTATAAAATTAATTACAAAATTTGTGCATTTACTTCTATTAATAAACTTGGATTGTATGCAATTAATCCTTTACTATAATCTTGATAACCACAAATGTGACAACAGAGTTTATCACATTGTGGATGCTTCTTGTTTAAATGATGTATGAAATCATTAGGGACATAACATGAGAAAGTACATAATCCTAAAATAATTTAATAAAAATATAATATAATTCGTAACAACAATATTATATAGTAATTAAAATAACTATAGTGACAGAATCACAGAAAACAAAAATTATACTTACAACTAGTTAATATTTTATAGAAAACTATCATTATATTAAATTAAAATTCCTAACATTGATGTACACAATAGGCACTTTTCTCAAATAGCCAAACATCCATGGTCCGAAATATTAGAAATTGATAACTTTTATGTCCATCTATTGGCAAACTGTTGACTGGATATGGCAAATATTTATTAAGGCTATTTACACAACACGCTAATTATTATCATGTAACAGTATCATTCATTAAACTAGTCAATTTTGGTTTTCAGGTCCTTGATTTTTATTATTATTATAACTCATATATTAGCAAAATGTACACAGGATGTATATCGAAGACTGGAAGATTATTATTATTATTAATTCATATTAAATCGGGAAAAAAATCCCCTACCAAACAAAAACAAATCAAAAAAAACCCGATGCCACTACAAAGGAAATATCCCCTCCCCCTCCCTTAGCTCAAAGCCATATATGTAGCTTGATCAAATTGAAACTGATTGGACTGAAGAAACAGAAATTTTTTTTAAACCCAAAATTATCTCGAGGAAGTACTTTCGAGTACACCAAATGAAACATATAAAAGACTCGTGTATGACATCCAAACCTCCGAACTCCCCAAAGAATTTTTTTTTATCTACCACTATCATTAAAAATGAAAAAACTACCAAGAAACCTAAAATACTATCTCGATAAAATTCGTCAATCTAACAACAATTAACAATCTAGATACAAAATTGGATGAAGGACTAAAACCATTCATTGAATATTTCACCATTAAAGGACCCCTTCCAATCAAATACCTCCAATTTAAATATACATTGGATAATTTCAATTGTTAAGTAGTAAATATTCACGTGAGGAACGAAAATGCTAATAGAATCATACCAGCTCTAATGGACCTGATTGATCAAATCCGACTCAAAATAAAGGAAAGATCAATTAAACCACGAGTCACAATGCTATTAGCTTTGATTTTACAAACCCAACCTCTCAAAAAAGTACAACCCAAATCCATACCAAACGTGTCTTAATGAAACATACACACTCAAAACTTTTTTCATACTACTCGCACTTATTAAAAATTTAATCGTGGACTCTATTATCCAATGGAATATAAATGGCCTACAAAAGCACAATACCGAAATCTGCCGAACTATAGTTCTTATCCATTTTATCGCCTTCTGTTTCCTAGAGAATAAATTAAGATCCTTCACTAGCTTTTCCTTAAAAGGACACAATAGATTTTTCAAAAATCGCCAAGTAGACAAGTATGTCAATAATCTCATTAAAAACACGGAAATTCATACTCAATCTTCACTAGAAGTTATAGCTACCTCTATACACTCCAAAACTCAAATATATACTCTCAATATTTACCTACCAGGCAGTACCATAATATCACTAAATGATATCAAAGATATAATCAAACAATTACCTAAATATTTTCTTTTTTCTCGCCGATTTTAGCATTCGTAACTAAATTTGGGGATCGCATTACAAGGATCAAAAAGAAAAACTATGGACAAACATATAGAAAACGTACAACTAATATTACTAAATACTGGAGAATAAACTCGTCATAATGCAACTCAAAATTCCCTTTCAGCTATTGACCCCACAATACCAAATAGCACATTTGACCCAAAACCGAATAGAAAGTACTTAATGAATATAACAACGGTGACCATTAAACCATTTCCATAAATACTTTTGGACAAACACCTCCAATATCTCCACTCCACCGTTGGAATTTAAATAACCCCAGTTGGGAACTTTACCAAAATACTATACAATAAGAATTTATTGACCACCAAGTTATTCTTAAAAATGCAATTAACCAAACCGAAAGAAATTCAATGATCAACAAATTTTCTAACAAGATATTAGATACTGCCAATTCGACTATTGGTAAATAAATATCAAAAAGAGAACAGTCCTATAGTAAAACAAGAAATGTAATATGGCAATCAGAGCCTGAAGAAAATATTTAAACAGATTTAAAAAAACCAAATCCATTGATGACCAAAGAGCCCTCAAAAAAATTATTATTAAAAATTATTATAAAAAATATAAGGGAATGATCTTTTACAACCAATTAAAATGGACTCATCATCTCTTATACATAAAAGTTTATGTATAATAAAAAATAACATAATGAAAATACTGTACCATCACACTTTGGGAGGTGGCCTGATATAAAACGACTTCTAAACATAAATAAAACCTTGAAAATGTCACAAATAAATTATGGGTAAATTATTTATAGCACAGCTAAGAAAATCTACTTAAAATATTATATCCTACATATAATAAGGAAATCCGTATATCAATAGGAGCATTAAGAAACAGTCCGAATCGAAAGCATTTTATTCCACCCCGAAAAATTACCTATCAAACTCTAGTGTTACCTCTCAGTAACACAAGAACCTATAGCCAATTATCAGTTCTGAAAAGTTTTAAGCCATTATGACTTAAACTGAATTTACAATATTGTTATGAACCATGTCTGATGATTTATGAAGCTTGAGTCTATTATTTTAACATAAATCATGAATAACTTTAAAGGAAAATAACAACAGATAAAAACATGCAGACATTGTTTCTCTTAGATTAAAAATAAAGATCAACATACCGACATTACACTTATATGGCATAATAAAATCATTATAGTCAACTGCCATTAATATTTCTTCCGAATTATCATTCTCCAGTTGTATTACTTTTGAATTTTTTGTATTATGAAATAAATTCTAAATCAAAATTTTAATAATAGTAATTTTAATAATACACTTATAATACATAATTACAATTAAAAATGAAAATAATATTTACCTGATGAAACAGTACATGAAGAGGTGTATATGCACGATAAAAACAAAATGGACAAAAATATTTACAGAAAGAATAGTTTTTTAAAATATGAGTAGCCAAAGATTCTCCATCATCAAATTGTTTAAAGCAATATACACAATGTTTGAACTGTTCAGAATTATTTATTTGATTCTCTAAAACACACATCATTAACAAAGATCACCATTTATACTCAAATTTAAAGACAATAACAAGTAAAATATTAGTTACTTTTATTTTTACCCATATTTGAAAAATGTGATTGTATATGTAATTCAAACATTACTTTATCCGAGAAAACGTCTGTACATGATTTATCCATACATTTAAAAAGTGTGAATAATTTTGGTATTGTTGTCATATCATTAAGAATTTGTTGTGATCTTATTGCTTTGGCTCCAAACTCTTTGAATGTTTTTAAATAATTTTTTTGATACACTGTGTCTATTAAACAATATGTACCGTTTATGGGTACTCCTTTGTTAACTATTTGTTGATTTGAGCCTACAAGAGTAGCCCTTGAACTCGTAACTTCATACTGATATTTTATTTCATAACATTTTTTATTACCATTTGTAATACAATTTTTACTCTTATAACGTACATTAAAAAAAAAAAAACAAAAACAAATATATATTATNGTTCGTTAATGATCATAATTGGACAAATGTTCTAATATTTTATTTTATTTCAAAAAACATAGTCATAATGTTATTTTATAAATATTATGTAATAAATATAATAATACAATATACAATATAATAACACAGTTTTAACTTACTAGCTGTTGAGAACAAGTCATCACGGACCTTTAGTAAAGAAATAACTCTAATTGGTTCCATGTCTTTACTATTTACTGTGGCTGAAGTTGAGTGTGTCTGTTCTTCGTGCACGTCTTGATCAATCGCTAAAAATTAAAATATTTTATCTTTTATAAAATTAACATTATCAATCAATAATACATATTTAACTTAACATACAAATTACATGAAAATTATTTTATGTTGTTGGTTTCTTTTAAAACCAAATGATGTAAAATGATATGTTCTAAAGCATCTATTAATAAATACTGTTCATTTAAATTGTCCACTAATGAATTATTGTCTATTTTCCCTAAACATTTCCATGTTTCCACTGTATTTTAAATACCTATACAAAGTCACGTAAGTAACTTGGTTAAAATATGTTTACATAAAAAGAACTATTATTGATGATTTCCCTTCAAAAGATTTGAACTTCCAACCCTCCAGTCCTCGAGAAGAAATATCACTTTTGTTTAATATCAATTGTTACTTTTAAAGGAGCCTTTATTCAGTTTCTAATTGATACATGTTTTTATTTAACAATAAGAACTTTAAAGATTATTCTGCAGTGATATCCTTTCGCTGATAGTTCTGACACTATTGGTTTTTCTTTCAATCAGGTTTTATGCCAAGAGAGTGGGGAGAGGAGGGATTCATACACGGAAAATAGTTAAATTTTTATTTTCGTTCATTCATCACTAGACATTTTTTTTTTTTATTTTATCACTTTTCAAAATATTCATTTTTTAAAAGATATTATTCTTAACATTCTATTGTAACATACATTGATATCCGATCAATATTTTTTCAGTCATAGCTTAAAAATATAAAATAAATATTGACAGAGTTATTAGTACAAGGATAATACAATAGTACACTCAGTGAAATTAAAAGTAACTAGATAATTTCTTTATGTATTTTAAGATAATAACCGGATAAATCCAATAAATAAATACTTTTCGGAGATGCTAAATAATATTCGAAAACACATTTTTGTATGTACATAATATAGGGAAAAATAGATTATCATACAAAATTTATTTTTGGTTTATTTTTTGTGATTCTAACACAGAACTCACATTCATTTTATATACCATAGACAATAATGTACAAAAATAATCTGATTTAATATTTTTTTATGATAAATTCTTTTATTTTAATTCTTCTATCCCCAGTTTATGTTTTAACTCACTATTCGTTCACATAAAATAAGTAAATGATATGGTTTGGTTAGTCTCTCCATTGTATATTTGTGTTCGTTTATGATCATAATTGGACAAATGTTCTAATATTTTATTTTATTTCGAAAAACATAGTCATAATGTTATTTTATAAATATTATGTAATAAATATTATAACACAGTTTTAACTCACTAGCCGTGGAGGACAATTCATCAAGGACTATTGGTGAAGGAATAATTCTAATTGGTCCTATTTCTTGACTATTTACTGTGGCTAAAATTAAAGGTTTCTGTTCTTCTTCCACGTCTTGACCAATCGCTAAAAATTGAAATATTTTATAATTTATAACATAACATTATCAATCAATAATTCATATTTAACTTAACATACAAATTACATGAAAATTATTTTATGTTGTTGGTTTCTTTTAAAACCAAATGATGTAAAATGATATGTTCTAAAGCATCTATTAATAAATACTGTTCATTTAAATTGTCCACTAATGAATTATTGTCTATTTTCCCTAAACATTTCCATGTTTCCACTGTATTTTAAATACCTATACAAAGTCACGTAAGTAACTTGGTTANTTTCCCTTCAAAAGATTTGAACTTCCAACCCTCCAGTCCTCGAGAAGAAATATCACTTTTGTTTAAAATCAATTGTTACTTTTTAATGAGCCTTTATTCAGTTTCTAATTGATACATGTTTTTATTTAACAATAAGAACTTTAACGATTATTCTGCAGTGATATCCTTTCGCTGATAGTTCTGACACTATTGGTTTTTCTTTCAATCAGGTTTTATGCCAAGAGAGTGGGGAGAGGAGGGATTCATACACGGAGAATAGTTAAATTTTTATTTTCGTTCATTCATCACTAGACATTTTTTTTTTTTATTTTATCACTTTTCAAAATATTCATTTTTTAAAAGATATTATTCTTAACATTCTATTGTAACATACATTGATATCCGATCAATATTTTTTCAGTCATAGCTTAAAAATATAAAATAAATATTGACAGAGTTATTAGTACAAGGATAATACAATAGTACACTCAGTGAAATTAAAAGTAACTAGATAATTTCTTTATGTATTTTAAGATAATAACCGGATAAATCCAATAAATAAATACTTTTCGGAGATGCTAAATAATATTCGAAAACACATTTTTGTATGTACATAATATAGGGAAAAATAGATTATTATACAAAATTTATTTTTGGTTTATTTTTTGTGATTCTAACACAGAACTCACATTCATTTTATATACCATAGACAATAATGTACAAAAATAATCTGATTTAATATTTTTTTATGATAAATTCTTTTATTTTAATTCTTCTATCCCCAGTTTATGTTTTAACTCACTATTCGTTCACATAAAATAAGTAAATGATATGGTTTGGTTAGTCTCTCCATTGTATATTTGTGTTCGTTAATGATCATAATTGGACAAATGTTCTAATATTTTATTTTATTTCAAAAAACATAGTCATAATGTTATTTTATAAATATTATGTAATAAATATAATAATACA